TCTCATAATTACAAAAAAATGAACAAAATAAAAAATTATGATTGGTTGAATGAGGTTTTCACGACTTTTACAAATTGAGTGGTTTTTATTTGAACCCACCCCTATATATATATATATAATATATATATATATATATATATATATATATATATATAAAATATAATCTGTTTGAGGGATGCTATTTATATATGAGGCAAACCATATGGACCAAAAATGTAATTCTTATATAGTAGAAGACATCATTAGACAAATGACCAAAATCTCCTTCCAAGTCTATTAAAGCATACCATCCAAAAAAAAGTTTGTTGAAAGCATGTGGTTTCTTAATCTTTAAATATGCATTTATTTGTATTTAATGAAAATTTGGTATAATTAATAGATATCATAAATATACAATTCTTGTTGGAGATATAACAATATATATATATATATATATATATATGATTAAGTTCAAGTGGGACCAAAAGTTTTTTATGAGACCCGTAAAACCAATTTATGTTTATTGATCAACTTTATAAGCTAATAATCTAAAGTTGTACAATGACAATTTTATGATTATTGAGAAGTTTCGTGGCAATTTTGTGATTATGAATGTTCATATTGTAGATCTAATCCAAGAGTTGAAAATTGGTCTTACGGATCTCACGAAACACCCTTGATCTTACATGATCTCAAGTGTATGTATGTATGTATGTATGTATGTATGTATGTATGTATGTATGTATGTATGTATGTATGTATGTATGTATGTATGTATTTTGTCGTAACTCGTAATATGTCGAATTATTGATTTATCTCATACATATATTCTCATAGAATATTCCGATTCATCATGTAAATACGGTGTTCTTAACTAGTTTTGTATAATTACAATATACATTTTGATAATGTACTTGTTTGCAACTTTGACTAAAAATTCTCCTCGAAACCCTTGCTTCTGAAACCTACGGTTGCACAAAGAGTAGCGATAGTTGTTGTCGGTATTGTGACCACCTCGACTCTAAACAAGTCTGATTGAATTGTTAATTTTTTATTTCACATGTTCGAATTTTTTCGATCTGCTTGAGACTGCTGTTTTTATAGTGTGGTTTCTCGGTAATAAAATACTGAAAAAAAAGGTTTAATCATTTCATGTAAAATGAAAAGTGTTATATTGATCCTAATTTCATTTTTATATATGGTTTGATTTCAATTTAAATTAAAAATTAAACCGAAATAATTTATATATTAATTATTGTTTAAAATAATCTTTATATATTG